TAGGCTCACCGCCGGCGAGGCCACCCCATTCGCCGCCGCCGTCGCTGAGGTCGCCCTCCGCATTGAGGTCGAGCTCACGCTCGAGGACCCGGCCTTCACCCCCTGCATGCAGCGTGCCGTGGCCCTGCGCCTGTGGGGCGCCACGGCCCACAAGCGCGCGAAGAGCGCTGGCGCGCGGTGCGCCGCGAGGTTTGCAGAGCTCGAGCACTGGTACGAGGCCGTGCGGCTGGTGGTCGTCAGCTGGGAGGAGCAGCAGTTCGGCGCGGCGTGCCTGCTGCGCATGACGGGCTGCGACAGGGAGGAGGGCCGCGGCAAGTGGGGCGACGAGGTGCGGAGCGCGATGGGCGCCTTCTGGCAGGGCGTGCCGCGCACGTTTGCCCGCCTGGAGCGGCTCAAGGAGACGCTGCTGCAGAAGAAGAGGGAGCTGAAGGACATGCGCGCGATCGTGTTCGTGCAGCAGCGCATCACGACGCACGTGCTCGAGCACTTCCTCAGGACGGACGAGGAACTCAGTGGGACGTTCGCGCCCGCTAGCCTGTACGCCGCGACATCGCCCGCCACGCCTTCGTTCAGGGTGACCAAGAAGCAGGGGCAGGAGACGCTGGACAAGTTTGCGACCGGCGAGGTCGACGTGCTCGTCACGACGGTGGTGGCCGAGGAAGGTAAGCGGCCCGGGAAGGGTTTTGGTTTTGGAAACGGGGTAGCCACGTGTTGGCACGCGACTGACTGTTTTCCTTTTCCCTGTTTTTTTTGTTGTTGGATTTTTTGTTTCTTTTTTTTTTGCGCCGCGCGGCAGGCATGGACGTGCCGGCGGCCAACTGCGTGGTGCGCTTCGACGCGATGCACCACGCTGTCTCGCTGGTGCAGGGGCGCGGGCGCGCGCGACAGGAGCGCAGCGCCTTCGTCGTGCTGCGCGAGCGCCGCGACCGCCCGCACGCCGCTCTCGCCGCCGCGGAGGCCACCCATCGCCGCCTCATCGAGACCTTCCAGCCCGCCGCCCGCGCGTGAGC